TCTCTCTCTCTCTCTCTCTCTCTCTCTCTCTCTCTCTCTCTCTCTCTCTAGTGCTGCATTTATATTCTCACATGAGACGCGGAGAGACAGAGTCATGCGCTTTATCATCTACTCGGGCTTGGTATTCGAACCCACGTTGTCTGGCGGTGCACGAATGCACTCACTCCACGCTTCGCCCCGCCACGCCGCACTCCTAGATTAATACGTATAAAGGTGCGGTTAGGTTAGGTCGGCACCGCCTCCTACGCCTCCTAATGCAGCGTCCTCACGCTCGCGCTCCACTCCCTCCCCTCCCGGCGCGGGTGCCAGCCGAGGCGGCGCAAACTGCACACACCGCGCGGACGACTGGGAAAAAGAGTACACTCGTCTTCGAAGTATCGGACAAAAATGAAATCGGGACCGTCGCGGTCGTTGCTGTTTTACACCAGGCCTGGTGTGTCACAGATACTGCACACTGTAGGTAACTGCACGCTAAAAGTGACTGCTTGATTTCTAAGCAAAAGTAGTAATTTTCAAGCAAAAAGCGCTTGGAAATTACCACTTTTGCTTGGAAACCAAGCAGTCACATTTAGTGTGTGTCTTAATTCTGCGCGGAAAATTACGAGGAAATAAACTCTGTCGTGCCCAACTTGACATTTGTCGTGAACAAATTAATTTTGTGCCGTACTATTTTATTTTGTCTTGCGCGAAGTTTCCTCTCAGTCTTCACAATCGTGTATCACGGGACTACAAGCGTGAAATGCGTTAGATATATATATATTTATTTTTTTCTGGCGGGCGCAGCCGAGCGGCCATTCGCGCGGCGCGCAGTGCAGCAGAGAGCGGCTTATTATTACACTTTGCAGCGCCAGTCGCTTATAATATGCAACCCGTTCGTGCACTCTGTGCGTAGGACTACGCGCCCCACCCCGCCCCGCCACGCCCGGCGCGTCGTTACTCGCCGGCTCACGCAATGTGCTCGGTACCCGTACACAGTACCCGACCCGGCCGGGACCTGGGCCGGCCGTCCTTGGTTCACTAGGCTGGTCTGACGGCTGCGGTCCGCGCCCCGCCGCGCCGCGCCACGCCCTGCATCGCACACAGCCTCCTCGCAATAGGGATCACACGGCGGTGGAGCTGCCCCTAAAAGGACTTTCCCACAAAGGCGGTATGGCGAGAAGGGAAAAAAGTCCCCTCCCCTCCCTTTCCCCCACTCTCCCTCTTTCTACCTTACCAAGTAGCCGCGCATCCCCCCCCCCCGATCGCTCGAATGTGTAACGCAATAGCGGTTCTTTTCTGCTGGTGCTCCCCCACCGCGTGCTCTTGAAAGCCCTGCCTGCCGCCGCTACTGCTGCCCGCACACTACTTCTATCACAGCCGAATCCCCTCGCGGCACGAGGATAAATGAGGGGATCGAGCTATCGATCCCCGCTCATGCATACAAAGCGACCTGTTCATTCATATTCACATTCATCTTTCCGACCCATTGCGCTTCCGGCCAAGCGGACCACGAAATAAATAGACGCGACCACACAGCGGGGCGACAAGGGGGCATCTAGATTTATGTGCCCTCTGTCTTGCAGACCGCTGTCCAGGAGTATCGCGTTCCAGTATGGTGGTGGCGCTCCAGGTTCCAGGAGATGCTTGCACTCCTTAAACTACTACTAACTGCGGTATACACGCTGTTATTCAAACACAGTGACTGTGAAGCCACATTTAAAAGACTGACTCGAATGTCACACATTCCTTATGAGTCCATATGACATATGTACGTCCACCAGACACTGAGACCGTGACGAGCGAGGTCATCGCAAGGCATGAGCAAGCCATTTTCTAACAACTGTGAACGTTTTTGCCTTGCACTGGATATCAGTAGGGCCAAAATTAAGCCACATCTAACCACACCATGACTATGATTTATGGGCATTTCTAAATTGATTCCAGAACTAAGATTATTTTTCCTACAAGCACTAGTCTAGAGGTAAAGTTTTGCCGTTTTCCAGTATAGCGTGTTTCTGATGGTTTCCAGGGAGATCCCCTCGCGGGGAGCGTTCCGGTACTCCTGTAAGGTGACTCGGAGAAGGAACGGTGCCGGGGGACGTGACGACGTTCAGTGATCAGGAAGGAACTGATGCGACGGCCAGTGGCGTGGGGCGGCCGAGCGGTGAATCGCAAGACACGAAGCAACAGCTAGATTGACGGATTTAAACTTCGCGCCGCGGTGCATTGAGATCTCAGCCGGCGATATCCTGCTCTTCTTCCCCGCCTAGGCGCGCGAAGCGGCGGACAGCTTGCCGGCGGCGCAGGTAAGCTCGCACAACAGCAGCAGCAGCATAAATGGAACCGCCTACCAATTTTTCTTGTTGTTTCTTTCTTTTCTTTCTCTGATTTTTTCTGATTTTCCTTAGAAGAAATTCTTATTCTCTGATTATTTTTCAAAATTTTCTCCGAGTTTCAGATTTATAAAGTGACTTTACCATAATTTTGTCCGGATTTTGCCCTGATGTATACTGATTTTTTAAATTTATTTTTGTGGGTGATGCACCCCCATCGGCAGCGGCACACTCTCTGGCTGCCAATAAGCGCCGCCCGCGCGCCGATATAACTCGCCAATATAATGGCCGTTTTGCCGCAGGAGCCTCTAATGGCACCCTCGCGAATAAGAGAAGTGCCGCTGGATAGGATATGCAAGTGCGCGGCCCCCAGCCGGCCTTGGCTCCTGTCCAAATCCGCGACCAAGTCCACGCCCCGCCGCGCCACGCCCAACCTCATTTCCATGATGCGGAACTCGCATCACGTATGTATGACTACAGCGTACGAATAATCGCCGTAGTACGGGCAGCGAATAAACGAGTGAGCTACCTTTTTATTCGTTGTCAATAATCCATTCCGGTCAAGCTGATACGACGAAGAATGCGCGGGGAACAAGAAAACGGAAATAACTTTGCTATAAGATGGTAACTTCCGTTTTCTTGTTCCCCGCATTTTTCTTTTTCTCCGCTATACCGGGATCTTTATCGCTGCGCCTTATATACTGCGTTTGGCTTGCACAGCTCTACACGGGCGTCACCTAGCCGTAACTCTATGAATTAATTAGTTTCATTTGCGTAAACCAATAAAATGCACCAATTGTTGGAAAAACGAAACAAAATGGCCAGAGTGAGAAATGCCGTAGCTGTATTTAAAATTGATGGGAAGCACCATCGTGTTTCAAAGTCAGCCAAATGTGAGTGGCCGTGCGTGCACTCACTGACAGACAGACGGACCGCGCCGAGCTGCCGCTCTGACGTAATGTCACTGTTGCTGTTGCTGCAGGCGCGCCGTTGTACCTGCTCGGCTCGGCTCGGCTCGGCCCGAGAAGCCACACGGCACCGGCAGGACAACTACCCCGGTATGGCTGTGGTGGATGCCCCCGAAAATAACCGATAAATGCAAGTAACTGACAAAAGAACTGACCAGCAACTGACACATGACTGAGAAATATGTCGACAAACTGACACAACTTACCAATAACTGGTACTGTAACTTAATTCAAGTAGTAATTTAAGTGACGACTCAAGTGACAGGTATAAGAACGAGTAGCATTTTTTTTTGTCAAAACCTTTACACGTTTCCCGTCGAATTTCTCACATACGTCGTCGGTCGGTTAGGGGCCCTCCCGCCCGGTCCCCCCAGCCGAGATACTCCTGCTGCCCCGTCGTGTGGACAGCTGCGGACAAGGGCAGAGGCTATGGGGCGGGCGGCAGGCTACGGACGGACACATCAAAAACCCCTGGTGGCCTGCTTATGCGAGAGGCCTGCAGCGCGGTATCACATGTCTCTCTCTCTCTCTCACACACACACACACACGCACACACACACACACACACACACACGCCTCGTGCGCTTGCGTGTGTGTGGATGCCGACCAGCATGCAACATATGTTGCAGAGCGACAACGGCCGAAAAGGAGAGGGAAGCCACCCAAGAAGCAGAATTTTATGATGATCGCACAAGCTTCTGCAGGAAAATTTAAACAAAAAAAATATCTGTTTGATAAAGAAAATATGTACTGTACTTTAACTGTGGGGGGCATTTTGAAGTAAATTTTCTTTGTCTGCCCAGAAATAAATTAAGAATCTCAGCAGCTTGTTTGCAGTCGCAGCAGATTAACTTGTCTGTCTGCGCTAGAGACTTGATCTCTGTTTTTATGGGGTATTTTGATTATTTTTTTTCGACGAACACAACGCGCGTCAATCGCGTAAGCGCGGTTTTTAAAGACGCGAAGAATCACATTCTCTGCCTAATGACGAGCTGAATCGTTAAAGCGAAACACTCCGCCCGGCCACGCTTGGTCTAAACTATAGAGGAAGACACGGACTCCATGGCTTCACCATTTTCCTCGACGCTGCTGTGGACTTTTTCCAACAGTGGCACAGCCAAGTTGCTGCCTTGTCCTGGTCGCCCCCTCCTAAAACTGCTGATTTCCTCGTTAACGTCGGGGTCCCCCGCTGCCCCAAAGCGATTTCGGATCCGGCCGAAGGGGTCAGGGCCTGACAGCGCCCCCCCCCTCCCCCCTCTCACCTGAGGCCGGCATCCTCGTCCTCTCAGAAGGTCCTTTCGACCTGCCGCCGGTTGCTGCGGGACCGGCCAACAACAATACAACGGCGACGAAGACAAATCAGAAACGTCCTATGTATTCCCCTCCAATTCGTGTATCGAGCACCCTACTACCAATGCAGACAGTACAACATTTTCAGTTTGCTATACCAACAGTTACAAGTCAATTATGTGCTGTTGGAAGTGGCGTGGCGGGGCGGGGCGAGGCGGACGTGCTCCTCGCGACACACCGGTGATGTCACGGCACGGCCAGCACGGCCGATGCTGCACGCGGGCGTCTCCGGCACGCACGCACGCACGCATACAGACACACGAACACACACACACACACACACACACACACACACACATGCCACACAGACAACAATATGTCTCGCTTCTCGACGGATCCCGTCGGATACCCCATTATTGCCCCCTAATTCCGAAATGATCCAGGAATACTTTGGGCCCGAGCTTACTTTAGGGCCATCGTGTCTGTTGTGGGCAGGCACGTACAAAATGATTTCTGATATACTTTTAAAAATGAAAAAGAAACCATCCAAGCAACACTAAAACGTACTGGCCCTGCTGCAGAAAATTATTAAAATAAAAGAAATTAGTTTTCTAGGGGTTTGACAAATTAAGCGGTAAAGAGGTGTTTATTTTGTTAGGTTGTCGTTCTTATTTTTTGTAGTGCCGGGTATGTGGATCAATCAAACGGACGATAGGGCACGTGGGGCACGGCGCGCCCGCCTGTGAGGTAGGACAAGGTTACGTTCACGTTCTGCATCGCTGCATGCCCAAAGGTGGCTGTGTGCGGCCTGCAGCCTGGGGGCGGGCGGCCCGGGCATACACACACACACACACTACAGAGTTGCTGGCACACACACGCACGCGGGTGCACACAATTCGTCACCGCGATGCTCTTCACGGCCGCCTCCGTTTCCGGCCGTTTTGTTCGTCGCGGGGTTCGCGCCGCCGGGTGTCGGCCGACTCATCCCGACTCCTGGGAACCAGTGCGCGGGACCGCGCGGCACCTGCACTGACTCAGCGCCGGCCAAGCCCACGGGACGTTCAAAGTCAACTGTAGCCTACACGACGAAAAAGACGAAAAAATATGACCTACCTAAACCAATACCTAGATACGGGATAACTAATCATTTAGCGATGTTGCTAAACAATCAGATTTATAAAGCTGTGGGAGCTAAGAATGTAGCTGAATAGCTAAACAAAGCTCAGTTTTTGCTACATAGATAAAAAATAAATAGCTAAATATATTATTTTTAGCTACGTGGCTAATTCATAAATAGCTCGATATCTAGTTTTTAGCTAAACAGTTACATAATAAGTTCTAACCCGTGTTTAGCTATACAGCAAATCGTTTATCTTTCTTGTACTTTCACTAGAAATGCAAGTGTGTGAATGTCGCTCACCTGCAAGTGAGCGACATTCCATTCGTACACTTAGGGGAGTAAACGTATGAATTTTCTAGGAGAAATTCACACCTTTACCCCCCTAAGTGTACGAATGGAATGTCGCTCACCTGCAGGTGAGCGACATTCACACACTTGCATTTCCAGTGTTGTCAATAATTGTTTTGCTGGCCGTTGTGCTCGCCACAGTCTTTTCGAATAAACTAGATTGTGGACCGTAAACAAACACTACAATTAATTTTCAAAAGGAAATTGTGGCTTCAGATCCATAGTGTCGAAGAACCCTAGGTCGAGGACCAGATGGAGTTTAGAGTCCACTAGTTACATTTTGTTTTACTGTGTATACTCCGCAGATTTTTACTATATAACGCGATACATATTGACGACGGCAGAGAGAGAGGCACGAATACGGTACATAATGGAGAATAAAGAAGGATACGACGCCTGACGTAAGCGAAACAGTCTGCTCGCGAAAAAATAATATAAAAGAGACTCTGTATGCCCCCGCAGTCTTATTCGCAATCCGCCCAACCAAAAATTCCGGTTACGGTTACGGCCAGAATTTACGATTACGGCCGTAATTTGCTACGGTTACGGTC